TCGGTTTATTTGAAGACATCGGAGGGCCTCAGCGAGGCCAACATCCAGATGATCGCGAAGATAGGTAAGCAGGTGCATGACCCAACTCATACGATCCTCGCGGGGGACTGGAATCTCACACCACAGGTTCTGGAGGCTTCTGGAGTTCCACGCAAGCTGGGGATGTTGGTTCTTTGCGCCGATTGAGCACACGTGTCGTACCCCGTCTACGAACACAATCATTGATTTCTTCGTCATGGGCCCCGGCTTGTCTAGATTGATTTCTGGAGTTGCTGCGGTCATGTCTTGGGATGTCAAGCCCCACAGGCCTGTTCAACTCAAGGTTCGTGCAGATGCTCTCTCCCTCAGGCAGTTAGTGTACCGTAGCTATCAGCGGCTCCCTGTTGATGTGCCTTTCGGACCGCGGCCTCAACCTCCAGCGTGGCAGGGCGCTCTTGCTCATGCTGCTCAGGCAGCGGCTTGGGCCATGCACGAGAGGCCACGGTGGCCTGGAGTGTTTTGAATAATGCATGGGCGCAGTTTGTGGATGTCGCTGAGCTGGAGCTTACCCGCACTTTAGGTTTCGAGCCGAAGGAGTTGGGTGAGCGTTCGCGAACGATCAAGTCGTCTTGGGTTTCAGTTTTCTATCGCCCGAAGGATCCTGAGGATAAGCTCCAGATCGTTGCTGGTTGGAGGTGGCTGTACCAGTCTTTTCAGGAATTTACCCTGACGGTGCAAGATGCGACCGAGGATGCCGTGCAGATTTGCATCCAGCTTCAGGTATCGCTCCAGGACTCCTGCCCTGGTGAAGGCTTGTCTGTGCGCCTTGATGCCTCCCTCCGTGCCATGCGCACTCTGGCGAGGAGCTGGCAACACCACAGCAGCTTCCATCAGCAGGAGTGGCTTGAGCAAGCTCAGCAGTTTTTAGATGATGTTCGTGAGGATTATGAGCAAGCTGGGTCAGATGGGGATCGAATACAGCGGGAGTCGTGGGACATCTGGCAGGAACGGGCCCTTGCTGGCTCAGCTCGGATAATGCATCGTTTTACGAAGCTGAAAAAGGTTTGGCAGCCGACAGTTATCCAGAGTGCGCCTGGAGTTTTTACTGCGGATCCTCACGCCCTTCTGGAGGATGAAGCTCAGACGTTGGGAAGATTCTGGGGAGCGGGCTTGAAGCCACCTGAAGCCTGGATTCCTGATCGTCAATGTTTTCCTCGGGCCAGCGTTGATGAACTTCGGAAAGCGCCCCTGAGCTTCAGCCGCCACACCGCCCAGAGCTTAGATGGATTTCACCCGCGGCATGTTGGTGCCCTCTCCGACGAGGGCCTCACGTGCCTGGCCGTGCTCTACGAGGCCGTGGAGCGGCTGGGCCTTTTCCCCGCGCAGCTACTGTGGATGCTGCTGCCTTTACTGGAGAAGCCCAAAGGAGGTCTCAGGCCGATTCTTCTTCTGGGATCTTTTGTTCGAGTTTGGGAGCGACTTCGGAGACCTCAGGCTGATGCTTTCCTGGATCGGGCCCAGCGGCCTCACTGGTCTTTTGGTGCGGGGCAGTCTGCAGAAGTATCGATATGGCAGCAAAGTGTGATAGCCGAGGAGACCTCCGAAAAGGGCGATTACACGGCAGGTTTCATTTGGGACGGAATGAAGTACTATGAGTCCTTTCGGCTCCAGTGGCTGAGGGATCGGGCCCTGTACTGGCGTATACCCACGGTTCTCATAAAAGTCTCGTACAACCTCTGGAGGTCCCCGAGGGTACTCCGTCTGGGAGCTCATCACTGCCCGCTCATTCAGTTTGCGCAAAATGGTTTACCAGCAGGGGACATTTTCAATGATGTTTTCGTGAAGGTTTACGCGATGTTCGAGTTTGATCTTTGGTCTAGCCGAAATCCTGGGGTTAGTTTGGGATCGTACGTCGACGACGACACGGTTTCGGCCCATGGTCCTGAAAGTGCCATTATGCACGATTTGGTCACGGCTGCGAAAGATTTGAAGTGGGTCTTTCAGACACGTTTAGGTGTGCGGCTAGCTGAAGACAAAGCGGTATCTTTTTCGTCGTCCAGCAGGATAGCTTCCAAGTTGCGCAGGCGACTTCAGCCAATATGCCCTTCTTCGGCCACGAACTCCACGGTGTCGCTGGGCGTGGACCTAGCACCTGGTCAGGGGTTATCGGCTAAGAAGGCTAGAGCTCGGCGGCGGCAACGGTTTCACGATATGCGAATTCGTAGCCGGCTACTCCAGCACTATAAGAAGAAGCTTCCCAGGGACCGTACGCGTATTAACAAGATATATGTAGCAGGAGTACGGCCAGCAGCAGGTTTCGGTAGCATGGTCCTAGGAGTTTCTGATCATGAGTTGGCTTCTTTACGTTCTGTGCTCATGTCAGGCAAGTCCCCTGCTCATCGGGGAGCCAGCCTGACAGCGAAGTGTGTGCTTCATGGAGACCCTGCGTGGCGTCAGGCGGTTGCCCCAGCACTTCAGTGGTCGAACAGCCTCTGGCAGAGCCTCACGGAGCCCACGGTGTCCCACTTCTCTTTTCGGGATCACATTCGGATATGGCGTACAATATCGAGTTCCTCTCCTGAGTTAGGCCCCACCGTCTGGCGTAAGTCTAAAGGTCCAGTGCATAGAATGCTCCTCTCCCTCCATCGTATTGGGTGGCGTGCAGATAACTTTGCGCTGTGGAGAGATGACCGCGATCGCGTGGTTGATTTAATGTACACCTCCCCAGCTTTAGTGGCCAAGCAGCTCGAGGCTGGTGCGCAGAGAGCCCTTGAGCGCAAGATGGCCACTGATTTAGATGATTTCAATGATGCCCGAGTCTGCCCAGACCCTGTCGCTAAGCTTTTCCGTTCACGTAAGACCACGGCCAGACAAAAATATTGGCTCTCGGCAGTGTTTTCAGGTGCCTGCTGGACGGGAGATCGGTTGAGAGCGTGCGGGTATGACCACGGGGGGGATTGTCCTTTGTGCGGGGAACCCGACTCCCTGTTCCATCGGCAATGGCTCTGTCCGAGTGTTGCCGAACAGAGGCTCGAGCATGTCAGTCAGGAGTTGATTGATCAGGTGAAAGCTGCCGAGCCCCAGGAACTTTTGTTTTGGTCGAGGCTCATTGTGCCTCAGCCTGTGGTCCCTGGTCCGTCCTGGAACCTCGACCCGATTTTTCAGGATTCCGAGGGCCAGGAAATCAGTTTTGAAGATTTTCTTGAGCTGTCCCGTGGGTGTGAGCCCGTGGTCGATGGCTCAGCAACTCAGCAGGTGTTTAAGGAGCTCCAACGCGCGGCGTTCGGGGCTGTGTTCCTGGCACCTGGCCCCGAATACAAGATTCAGGCACGGATGATGGGCACAGTATGGCCCACCTTTTTCCAGACTCCGCAGTCGGCGGAGCACCTTGGTATGGCTACGCTTAGCTGTGTCATAGATTACCCTGCCACCCCTCACAGCGACTGCTCTGGTGCCGTTAATCTGCACAATGCTAGTCGTCGTGAACAGCTGTGCCCAAAGCAGATGTTTGCTGGCCTTAGGAGGCTCGCCCTGGAACACGACCCTCAGGGCTGTCTGGGACCTGCCTCCTACACCCCTGCCCACAGGTCTGAGGAGGTGATTTTGGCTTTACCGATTTTGGAGCGTCGCATTGCCCTGGGAAATGCTGATGCTGATAGGTTAGCCAAGCATGCACTGACACTTCACCCAGGGGCCCCGACAGAAGACCTCGAGGCCCTTGATGTGTGCGTGAAGCGTGTGAAAGATTTAGTTCGAATGTTTGATGCTGTGCTCTCCTGCTACCCCAAGATGGAGTTCCGCCGCGTTGCCAGAGGCCTTCGGACGACGGCTTTCAGAGATCCGAGTTGGCACGACTGGCGCGAGATTGACTCTGGGGCAGCTTGGAGGTGCACAAAGTGTTTCTCGATCACCTGGGATCAGGATAGATCGATGGTAGGGTGCAAAGGGGTCCCCACAGCCCTTCGGAATCTGAAGGATGCCGAGGAACGGGGGCACCTCCTAGCTTGTGCGATGATTGACAATGAGGCCCAGGAACCTTTAGTGTTTTGCTATAGGTGTGGTGCCTACTCTTCGAAAAGGTGTGTTTTGCTGGCTGGGCGGTGTTTTGGGAAGCTGGGTAAGAGATCCCAGACCCTCTTCCGAGTCAAGCAGGGGCTCCATCCTCACTTTTACAATGATAATCGTGTCACGGACCCTTGCCGTCGCTCTGCCGAGGCTGTCCTTGAGGCCGCAACCACACAAGGTGGTAAACCGACGGCCTCCCGCCTGCGCCTCGTGTCAACTCCTGGCATGGAGGCTCTGGCGGCCCGCGTTCGCGCGCGGGAAGAAGCTGCAGCTGCCTCCCGTCGATCGGGTTAGGCAGGATTGCTCTGTTCTGCCTCGAGGGCCTCCGAGGAAAAAGCGGTCATCCCAGTGCGCGCGCCAAAGGCCACTCTTGCCCAGGGCCACTCCTGCGCTCCGGGGCAACGATCGGGGGGAACAGGCATAGGGGGGATGCATCGACCCCCGCCCCTTGCTCGCCGAGAGGGGCCCGGTAGCCCCAACTTGACCAGGAACGTCCGGATTCACTGTCGGGGACTCATCGCCGATCTGTCGGCGATGTATTGCAAATTCCAGTCGGATGTGCCCCCCCCCCCCCCCCTATCCCAGACCCCCGACGTCATGGTTTGTGCATAACTTCGGCCCCCTGAGGCCTGGACCCCTTCCCTGGCACCGCTTTCTCACCCCGAGTCGTGCGTGGACGGCCCCGAGGGCCTGTAAGGCCCCCCTGCCTCTGAGCCTGGCCCTCCCGGGTGGGGTCGAAGCAGGTGGGTTCGGGGGATCGCGCCGCATCGCTGATGCATCGGGGATGCGGCTCCACGTGTCGAGCCATCGCAAACGTGGACCAAGGGGGCGTGGATTAGCGTAGCTCGCGGATTTCCGCCCCCAGACGCCGAACACCCAGAAACAGCCTCACCGTCGTGACCTTCTCATGCCTCGAGGGGGCCTGGGCTCGTCGCTGCTCCTGCGTGCAGCCGCAGGTGCCGTCCAGCCCCTGGCTGGGCCCCGCGGGCGCCCCCGAGCCGCTGGCAGCGGGCGACCCAAAGCAGGCCGTAGCCGCCCGCGCCGGCGCGGCGGCGCCAGGAGCGGCCCCGGCGCTGCTGAGCAGCCGCATCGTGGCCGCCATCCAGGGGACCTGGGCCGGCGCGGTGCTCAGAGGAGGAAGACCCTGAGATCCTGACGTTGCAATCACTACTTTGCTACGACGGGCGTGTTCGCTCCATTTCGGGCCCTCGGGCCTTCGCAAATCGATCCGGCTCGAAAGATGATGCAGAAAGAGGGGTCCTGGGCTCCGGTGGTGATTTTCTGCGGTGTTGCAATTCTTCTGCAGCGTCGGATCTCAGGGAAGGTGTCCATACCGCTACCCTGCTTTCTTTATCGCCTCTCTGGGCCTCGGGGGAGGCACTCGTCGCCACCGCTGGGTTCGCCTCGGAATTCCGGTCCCGGCGCCCCCTGAGAGGTCCGTGGAGTGGCGTTGAGTCGGGCCTGCTCCTCTGCAGGAGGAACATTCAAAATGAATAAACAAATCGTCTGGGGACGATTCTTGATAATTTTTGAGCATCTTGGGGGGATGTTTTGAGTATGTTTTATCTTTCGTCCCAAATCCACCTGTACACCTTAGGCGATGCTTAAGAAAACTTGAATTTTCGGCCAGAGTCTCGATTATTCTTAATGTTTCAATGTAAATCCTAAGATTTGAATGGAAATTTTGGGTTTTTATTCAAGTTCTGAGACTATGAATTTCTTAACCCATGATTTCTTAAGCATTTCGTAGGGTGTAGGGGGACACGCCCGCCCCAAGAGTAGCGGTATATCCGTGCCTTGCGGTTTCCCCAGGTGCGGGAGCACGCGCAGGACTCCCGCCCCCCGTCCCGGAGGTCCCTGGCTCGGGGCCTCCCAGATCTCGGAGGTGGATAGACCTCCTACCCTGCCACGTCGATGAGCGAATTGGCCGTTGTCGGTTCGCGAGAGGCGAGAGGGCGCCGTGGCCGTCATTTTGGCGGGTCCAGGTCCGTCGGTGTCGGTGAGAGGCCGCTTTCACTCAAGGGTGGTTTACGAAAGGGAGGTTTGCCCACCGCCGACAGATGGGGTCCGAGTGGATGGGGTCGGACGATCGCGCCGCAAAGCGCCGATGCACGGGCCGATGCGGCTCGACGTGGAGCCCGAGTTTCTCGACGCCGACGGCGCCGATTCATCGCCGATGCCCCCTGCAGTGCCGATGCATCGCCGATGCATCGCCGATGCGTCCGGCGGTGTGTCGGCGATGCGGCGCGATCTTTCGTCCCCAGCTACTCGGACCCCGTTTGGGAGGCCTCTGGTCCCTGAGGTCCCTATCTGAGCACGCGCCTTGCTCGAGGGAAGGAACAGGATGACCCCGACCACGATTCAGAGGAGGAAAGTGCCAATACCGATACCCTTCCCTCGTCGCCATGGCTGGGTTCGCCTGGGTAGAGGTCCAAGGAGTGGCGGTGTCGGTATCTGACCCCTGAGATCTGGAGGTTGTATTTGTTTCACATCAGGCGTTTTTACACTGGGCGCCGGGACATCACAGAGCGATCCGGCTCGAAATATGCCACATGCATTCGCATGGCTTCGCAGAGAGACCGCATTACGCCATCGTTCGTGACATGAGGGCGGCCTCGCGAACTGTGTGGAGGGGGGGCATGTTCATACTAGTGCTCACGGCTGGGCGCGCACGTCCCAACAGGGCCGCTGAATCTCGTCCAGCAGGATCTCTCAGTCCGTGCGTCCTTGTTGTATCTGCTATCGTGGGTCACCCGCGGACGGCGCGGAAGAGAGTTCCCCGCCCGGCGAGCCGCGGCCCAGGCCGGAGAGGACCGCTTCCCTCGCCGGGCGGCGGCGCGGGAGCGCAAGCATGAGATGGCCGCGCGTCCGCGCCGCGGGATAGCGCGCAGTTCGGTGGCTCAGTGAACACGGGTGCTCGGGGCCCCGGGTCATCAGGGGTAACTCGGGTCAGGGCTAACTCGGGCTCGCTTCTCGGGATTCCGAACACGAGTTGCCCGGGACCCGAGTGACCTCGGATAGTTCGGGCGTCCAGGGCCCCGGATCATCAGGGGTAACTCGGGTTAGGGTTATTTCGGGTTCGTTTTTCGAGAATCCAAACCCGAGTTACCCTGGACCCGAGTTACCCCGGAGAACTCGGGCGCCCAAGGTGTCCGCAGTTCGGTTGGTTCGGCTGCGGCGCAGTCGGCTGCGTTCGGCTTGGGTTCGGTTCGGTCGGCTGCCGTGTCGCCGCTGCGCCGCTGCGCCGCACTGCTGGCGGCCCGCCGGGTACGGTCGGCCTGTTTGGCTGTCGGAGCGGTCGGTTTTGGGCAGTGCTGTCGCCGTGGACGGTCTGCAGAGCGCCGGATTCGCCGACTGGGGCTCGAATTCGGAGGCGGCTTTGGCCGATCCGGTCGGGTCCCTGATCAGTGCGGTGCTGTGTGCTCGGGGACAGGTCGGGCTGGGCGGATCACGATCTCGGGCGGGCTCAGTTGGATGACCGCGGGGGGTGCTGAAGGGATAGGGGATTTATGCGTAGATGGTAAAGTGTCAAACGTGTCTGAAAATACTCATATCTATATATATATATATACAAGACTGCATTGGCGCTTCGCGCCATGCGCCTTGTTCCGGACGCTTCTCGGAAAAGCAATAAGTCATTGCGTGTTTCAGCAGAGGGGGCGTCGAGAGCACGAATACGACCACGATCACGAGGACCACCACCAGCACCACCACCACCACCACCACAACCACCACGACGACGACGACGCCGACGACAACGACGACGACGACGACGACGACGACGACGACGACGACGACGACGACGACGATGGGGCTCTCGTCTGAACTGCAGATGGGGCGCTCGTCTCTCGAGAGCCTCTGGAAGCTCCCGATGGGACCAGAAGCGCTCAGAAACTTGGCCCTTCCGCGTCGTCGTCGTCCTCCTCCTGTTCCTCCTGCTCCTCCTCTCGGGCAGGCCGCGGGAGCGAGCGCTCGGGGCGTCAGTAAGCGGGCTACGCAATAATGAGGCGGCAGCCCGCGATGACTCTGACGACGACGGCGGCGACGACGATTGGTCGCTTCCTGAATGCATGGAGGGGTCCTGGACGCTTGTGGGGCGTCTGAGGTCCTTTCGAAACACCGTCCTGAGGCGCTTGTGGTGGAGTGTAAGAGAACTGCTGGAAACTATATTGGAACGGTGGGGGCTCGCGTTTGAGCTCCTGGCGACTCTCCGGACCAGAGGACTCCTGTTGGGGCTGTTTTGGGCCGTCTTGGAGCCCTCTTGGGCCGTCCCAGAACCCTATTTTGGCCCTCTTGGAACACCCTCGGGGGCCTCCTGTGGCTCTCTTGGAGCTCTCTTGGGAGTTCTCGGGGCCCTCTGGGGCCCCTCATGGGCCGCCTTGGGCTTCTCTTGATCCGTCTTGGAGCTCTTTTGGGCCGCCTTGGGCCGCTCATAGAGGCCTCGGAGGCCGTCCTGGGGCGATCTTCAAAGTCTTTCGGGATGCCGTGGACGCTATAAAAGCGGAAAAAGCTAATGTTTTCAAAGGCGTACGTTTCCTCAGGGCATGGGACGATTTTGGCTCTTGGGGGTCCCTGTTGGGGCCTCTTGGACCGTCTTGGGGGCCTCGTGGGCCGTCTTGAAACCATGGTGGGTCCTCTTTGAGCGCTGATGGGCCGTCTTCGGGCCCGTTTGGGGCCCGTGGGCTCCGATCGGCAGGGGCGTCCAACTGCCCGGAAGGCCGCCGGGGCTGCGAAAGGGCGTTCAGGGCGTTCGTTGGGTGGAGGGCAGGGGCGTTTGGGGTGTCCTGGGGGGGGGGTCCGGTTTAGGGGGGGGTCCGGGTAATAAGAATATAATAATAATAATGATAATATATACATATATATATATATACACACGACCCTCCCTCGGGTGTTAGGGAAGTTCGGGGGGAAACCAACGTATCGCCCAATCGATCTCACGATCGATCTCTCTATCGGTCTCAGTTTCGACCTGTCGACTAGTATCACTCTCCATCGCACGATCGACCTCAATACCGATCTCACAAACGATCTCACTATCCATCGCACTACCGATATCACCACCGATCTCACTATTGTTCTCATTATTGATCTCACCATCGATTTCACCATCGGACTCACTGTCGGTCTCAATATCGATCTCACTATCGATCTCATTATCGATCATACCATTGATATCACTATCGGTTTCACGATCGATCTCACTATCCCTCTCACTATCGATCTCGCTAGTGATCTCACTATCGATCTCAATTTCGATTTCACGATTGATCTTACTATCAATCTCACTATCGATCTCACAGTCGATCTCACTATCGATCTCACTATCGATCTCACTACCGACTTCACGATCGATCTAACGATCAATCTCACGATCGATCTCACGGGACACTACGGGACATAGCGGGAAGCCGCGGGACACCACGGGACACCATCGGGACACCACTGCAGGACACCGCAGGACACCACGGGACACGACAGGACACCATGGGACACCACGGGACAAAATCACGGGACACAACGGGACACCGCGGGACACCACAGGGCACCGCGGGACACCATGGGATTCCATGGCGCACCATTGGGACACCACGGCGGGACACCGCTCTGGACACCATCGACACACCATTAGGGCACCATTGGGACACCAATCCAAACACTGCGGAACACCATGGGGCACCGCGGGACACCACGGGTCACCATCGGGAAACCACGGCGGGACAACCCAGGCGTCTGCCCGCCACGCAGCTGGGGGTGGCGACTTCTGTCCTCGCCGCGCCCTAGCCAGGCGGCCACCCATCCAGCTTTGCCTCGACCGCACGCACGACACGAACCCCAAACCGAAACCGACCTGGTGGTGGCTCTCCATTGCACTTCGGTCTCACCCCATTACCTCCGATACACCTATGCGACCACCCTTCGGGTGATAAGGAGGTTCAGGGGGGAGGAACCATCGTCTCACGCAATCGATCTTACGATCGATCCCATTAACGACACCACAGGTTGACATCATTATCGATCGCACAGTAGATCTCACCATCGATCTCACACTCGATTTTACAATCCTTTTCACGATCGATGTCTCAAGCGATCCCACGATCGATTTCATTATGGACATCACTATCGATCGCACTGTCGATCTTACTGACGGTCCCACTATCGATATTACTGTCGACATCACAATCGATCACATTATCGGTAGCACTATCAATCTCACTACCTATCTCACTATCGATCTCACCTTCGCTTTCACTCTAGGTCTCACGGGGCACCACGGGACACCACGAGACACCGCGGGACACTGCGGGACACCACGGGACACCACGGCGGGACACCACAGGACAACATTGGAACACCACGGCGAGACACCGCGGGACACCGCGGGACACCGCGGGGCACCAAGGGACACAACCACGGGACACCGCGGGACACCGCGTGTCACCCGCGACACACCACCAGGACACCATCAAGACACCAATCGAGACACTGCGGGGCACCACGGGACACACTCGGAACACCATGGCGGGACACCCCCCAGCACCCGCCCGCCAAGCGGATGGGGGGGCGGATCTCTGTCCTCGCCGCGCCCTAGCCAGAGGAGGGGTCAGCCCTCTTGCCCACTCGCGCAGCTTCGCCTGGCCCGCACGCGCGACGCGAAGCCGAAACCGAAACCGATTTCCCGGTGGGGGGCTTTCCGTTCCGCTTCGATCTTACCTTTTCAATTCCGATCTATGCCAGCCGCCGTGAAAACCAAACAGTGTGCTCCTAGCAGTGAGTGGTGCTATCTGTGCGGTGCAATCCTTGTGGTGCTTCATATGTGGACCAACTAATGGGGTGCAGCCTGCGTTGTGCAACCCATGTTGTGCACTCCTAGGTTGTGCACTAAACGATGCCAGAACGATGTTGTGCAGTATATTGGGTCAATCTAATTGTGGTGCAGGAAATGTGCTGCAATGCAAGTGGAGCAGTCGATGTTGTGCCATCTATGGGGTGCAATCCATGTGCGTCAATCTATGGGGTACGACCTATGTTTGAGAATATACGTAGCGATATCTATGTGTTGCACCCTATGCTGTGCAAGATATGTGGTCCATATATGATATGCAGTAGGTGCTGTGCAATTTATGCGGCGCAATCTATATATATGTATACATATATATGTATATATATATATATATATATATATAGATCGGTCAGTCGGTCTTGTGCGATACCCGTGGTGCAAAATATGTTGTGCAAGATATGTTGTGCGGTTTCAGTTGTGCAGAATATGCTGTTCAATATATGCGGCATAATCCATGTTGTGCATTCTATTCGGGGCAATGAATGATGACAGGAGGAGCCGCCAGTGCGGTTGCCCGCGGGGCCGTCGCGAGACATCGTGCCAGCTGCGACGGCGAAGAGTCAGGGGGAGTCCACGGCGGCCTACCTCATGCGGGCGGCCACGGGGAAAGCTGGCAGAGAAAGATGCGACGAGGTGTTCGGCATCCTGATGGTACGAGGAGAGGCCGAAGACTTCGCGATGGACTTCGGCGACGAGATGCTTGCGGAAGCGAGCCCTGCGGAGACCCACACCAGCCCTGCGATGGGAGAGGCATGTGCGGCGGCAGCAGATGCGGCAATGACAGCGGCGGAGGCCGAGACACCACCGCCGCCAGAGGCGGTGCGCCGAAAGCGGGGGCGAGGATCGGAGGCCAGCCAGCCAGAGGGCGACGGCACCCCGCGGGCGAATGTGCGTCGGCGGCTTCCAGGCGGAGAGGAACCGCAACAGTAGCAGCCGCTACCTTGCGAGGCCGAGGAGCTTGCAGCAAGTGGGCCAGCGATGTGCCCCCCCTCGAGCCCAGCGGCGGCGGGCAGCACTGGGACGGCGCAGCAACGCCTGCACGCGGTGAGGGAGGCGTGCGGTTGCGTGGTCTGCGTAGCGTGCGGGTGCTACGCGAGGTGGCGCACCGAGGGCTGGCCAAGCAGTGCCCAGGGTGGCCAGCCAACCCCAGCAGGTCGGCACGGCCAGGCGCAGGCTGGCTGATCGCATTCTGCGAGGCGCCCACCCGGAGCTGAACAAGAGCCTGGTCGACGGGCCAGGGTGAGTATGCCCAGTCATCTGGCCTGTTGCAGGGTTCGTGCGTTATTGTCCTGCTGATGGTATGACGCCTTGCGTCGTGCAGGCGCGGGCGCGCTCGCTAGCAGCGCTGGCAAAGACAGCATCCACAAGGAAGCGCCCTGGCCGTCGTGGCTGGAACCGTTGGCGTGGGCGCGCGCTGAGCCTGTGCTCGTGGTAAGTCAGTAACACAACAACAACAACAGCAGCAGCAACAACAACAGTAGTGCCATATATGATGCGCACTATGTGCGGGGCAATCGGCGTGGTGCAACATATGTTGTGCAGCCTTGTCGGTGCAACCCATGTGGCACAATCTACGCTGTGCAACCTATGTCAGGGAGGCGGCGGCGGCCACATAGCCGCCAGACCAGCCACGCGGCCCAGACGGCGGGCGGCGACGAGGCGGCGACGGGCTGGCCACGGCGGCCAGGTAACGTAGCCGCCAGATAGACCACGCGGCCCAGTCCTGCAGAGGGCAAGTAAGAACCCCTAAGTGCAACCACTGTTTGGGAGAAGTCTCTCTCTCTCTCTGTCTCTCGATTCTTACTATTATATTCTTATTGCCTGGACCCCCCCCTAAACCGGACCACCCCCCGCAGGACACTCCAGGCGCCCCCAACGAACGCCCTGGACGCCCTTTCGGAGTCCCAGCGGCCTTCCGGGCAGTTGGACGCCCCTGCCGATCGGAGCCCACGGGCCCAAAACCGGCCCCAAGACGGCCCATCAGCGCTAAGAGAGGACCCACTATGGTTTCAAGCCGGCCCACGAGGCCCCCAAGACGGTCCAAGAGGCCCCAAAAGGGACCCCCAAGAGCCAAAAATCGTCCCATTGCCTGAGGAAACGTACGCTTTTGAAGATATCAGCTTTTTCCGCTTTCGCAGCGTCCACGGCATTCCCAGCGACTCTGAAGATCGCCCCAGGACGGCCTCCGAGGCCTCTATGAGCGGCCCAAGGCGGCCCAAAAGAGCTCCAAGACGGATCAGGAGAAGCCCAAGGCGGCCCAAGAGGGGCCCCAGAGGGCCCCGAGAACTCCCCAGAGAGCCCCAAGAGAGCCACAGGAGGCCCCCAAGAGTGTCCCAAGACTCTTGGGACACTCTTGGGGGCCCGGCCTCCCAAAACGGCCAAAAGAGGGTTCTGGGACGGCCCAAGAGGGCTCCAAGACGGCCCAAAACAGCCCCCAAAGGAGTCCTCTGGTCCGGAGAGTCACCAGGAGCTCAAACGCGAGCCCACACCGTTCAAATATAGCTTCCAGCAGTTCTCTTACACTCCACGAAGCCGTAGTTCGCAGGACGGTGTCTCGAAAGGACCTCAGAAGCCCCACAAGCGTCCAGGACCCCTCCATGCATTCAGGGAGCGACCAATCGTCGTCGCCGCCGCCGTCGTCGTCGTCGGCCTACGGAGGAGCAGGAGGTCTCGGCCTGTCATCGCGGGGTGCCGTCTCATTATTGCGTAGCCCGCTTACTAACGCCCCGAGCGCTCGCTCCCGCGGCCTGCCCGAGAGGAGGAGCAGGAGGAGGAGCAGGAGGACAACGACGACGAGGAAGGGCCAAGTTTCTGAGTGCTTCTTGTCCCATCGGGAGCTTCCAGAGGCCCTCGAGAGACGAGCGACCCATCTGCAGTTCAGACGAGAGCCCCATCGTCGTCGTCGTTGTCGTCGGCGTCGTCGTCGTCGTCGTGGTGGTGGTGGTGGCGGTGGTGGTGGTGGTGGTTGATCGTGGTCGTATTCGTGGTCTCGACACCCCCCTTGCTGAAACACGCGATGACTTGTTGCTTTTCCGAGAAGCGTCCGGAACAAGGCGCCTGGCGCGAAGCGCCAATGAAGTCTTGTGTATTATATATATATATATATACACAGCTGCTTGCGGCACGCCCCGCCACCGTGCTTGTGGAACGACGCAACAGGAAAGAGGACGAATGTAGGGACAGCGCAATTCGTGCGATCGGTCTGGATTTGGACGGGTCGTGAACTCGACTCGGCCTCGTCCTGTTCGTCCGCGCGGTATGAGGGAGGTCGAGTTCACGCCCCGCGGCAGGTCAGCGAGTGGTCTGAAACGGGCAGGGTCGTGATCTCGACCTCGTGCATGTCCGCGCGATAGGGAGGAGGGGGAGGAGAAGGAGATGGAGGAAATGAGGACGATGAGGAAGACACTTCTTGGGGCCCTTTGGGGGCATCCTGCGAGCCTCCTGATGGCCTCTGAGGGGCCTCTTGGGGACCTCCTGTGGCCTCTTGGGGGCCTCCTGGTTTCCTTGGGCAGTTTTACGCAATCTTTGGCCCGTCTGACGCCTTCGCAGGCCGTGTTCGGGGGCCTCTCTTGGCCGTCTTGGTGCCCTTTTGGGGCGCTTCAGGGCCGTTTTGGGTCCTTGTTGGGAACTCCTTGGGCGATCTTTGGGCCCTCTTGGGCCGACTTGGGGCTCTCTTCGGAGCCCTTTGGGCTGTCTTGCATTATTGAGGCCTTTTGGGCCGTACTGGGCGGCCAAAAACCCTACTAGGCGAGAGCCTCATAATCCATCGTGCACCAAGGGAACATCGTTCGTTTGGGCCTCCTTTGATTTTCTCGCAGGGACTCTTGGACCTCTCTTGGGCCGTCTTGGAGCACTCTTGGGCCGTCTTGAGGGCCTCTTCGACCGTCCGGAGGGCGTCTTGGGAGTTTCTTTGGCCGTCAAGAGCCATCTTGGACCGTTCTGGTGTCATCCTGGCTGTCTTGGAGGCCGTCTTGCCTTTTCGGAGGCCGAGGAGAGCCGGAAGGCGACTTCATGAGGGGCGATTTTCAAGGCGCGCGCGCGGCGAGGGGGGGCGCCCCTAGAACATTCAAATACCTCCCAGACAGCAGGAAAGCAATCTTTCACGCCCGAACGTGCACAATGCCCAGTGGCGGATATGAACTCACCCAAACCAAGCCACTTAGGGCACTTGTAACCCAGGTGCGAGTTAGTTCACGCCAGATGTACCCCAATTAAGCAACCACTTGTAATCCCCTATCCCTTTAGCCCCCCCGCGGTCATCCAAGCAGGACCGGGAAAAATCTTTCCAGAGCGTGACGGAACGCGCCCAGGGTGTCCCAGAGCGCTCTGGAACGGCCGCGGCACCCGACACATCTTCCGGAGCCGCAGATGTCAGAGATCCCCGATCTATTCAGGCCCGTTTTTGTCCCAGTCCTGGCTTCGTCTTAGGATCTGGCCCGGGCAACGGATCGGCGCAGGAGTGGTCTGAGCTGTGCCAGCGAGACCTGCGCAAGGCCCTGCTCGAGGTGCTCGAGGTGGTGCTGGAGCTGGCCGGTCTGCCCGGCAGCCTGCAGGATGCGGACGTTGACGGGGATCCCCAGGCGTTCTTGCAACGGCTGCCGGAGTGGGTGAGGATCGAGGGTCTGGACCTGCAAGTCTGGCCGCTCATGCCGACGGCGAAGCACGGCAAGAGGTCCCTCATGAACTTCGAGAGGTTCTGGACCTTCGCCATCAACGCCCAGGCCGCCTCGACCCTGCTGGAGGGCAGGGTCGTGGCCACGCTGAGCCACTGGCTGCTGGCCATGCCGCGCGCGGTGATCAGGTCCCTGCGGCACGTCTCCACGGCCGCGGCACTGGCGATCGCAGAGGGGCTCGGGCACCAGCACCAGGCCCTCAACCGGCAGCACGACACCTTCAAACGGCAGTTGGAGTCATCAGGTCGAAGAAGAAGAGGAAGAAGAATAATATTTATAATCATTGCACAGACAGGAGCTTTCGGATGTGCTCGCGGAATTATTGGATCGGCGCTTGGCACCCTTGGCGACGCTTCTGGCGCCGCCTCCAGCGCGCTCCACGCGCCAGGGAGGGTGGTCCAGATCCAAGAAATCCGCGCGGACCTCCGACAGTGTATGTTTCTGCAGGTTTGTTTTGTTCTACAGGTGCCAGCAATCATCGCCAGAAGGAGCAGCTGCAGAAGAACTTGCAGAAGGCATCAGCGCAGGTTGGCCGGCAATCAGACCTCCCGAATCGGAGCAAACTTGTTTGAATTTGTATTCGTTGTGGTTACATGGCGCGGAGGAATTTGCGACTTGCATTTGGTAATGAATGATTTGTTGATCCGGCCACAGGTAGAGGAGATGTACAGGGCCCGGACGCAGCTGCTGGAGGCCATTGTGCCAAATCGCAGCAGGGACGTGAGCGAGATCATTCGATTGCACACGCTGTGCGAGGTGGAGAAGCTGATGAAGCAGGATCCAGAGATGTACCTCTCGAACAAGTGGACCGCGCGGGTCTTTCTAATGATCCATGACCCTGCGGTGGAGGTGCGACTGAAGGCGATCCAGGTGATCCAGTCCTGGTACCTTGATGTCCAACGCCTTGCAACAAAATCATGAACCAGGCGTGACTCCAAGTAGAGGAACGGTTCCTAATCGGCATTGCTTGGCATGGCGTTGCTTTGCTTGGCATTGCACTGCTTTGCATTGCGTGTTGTTGCTTTGCATTGCGTTGCGTCGCTTGGCGTTGCTTGGCGTTGCTTGGCACTGCGTGGCATTGCTAGGCAATGCTCGGACTTGCTTGGCAAAAATAAAGCCAAGGAACCTGGGGAACCCGAGGAAGGCCTTGTCAAAAACGGTGAAGAAACAAGACGAAGGAACCCTTGGAGCCCGAGGAAGCCCGTTGCAGAAACAGTAGGAGAGAAACAATGCCAGGGAACCCATGGATCCCGAGGAAGGCCTCGAACACAGTAAGGAGCCAAGACCAAGGAACCCTGGGAACCCGAGGAAGGCCTCTTCAAAAACAGTATGGGAATACCAAGGAACCCACAGAACCCGAGAAAGGCCTCTTCAAGAAACCAGGGCAGGGCTTTGCAAGGAAACTAGACTAAGGAACCGGGGAGTCCCCAGGGAACCCGGGCGCAACGCGGTCCGGCACCTGCCAGCTTCTTCAACAAAAAGTAAGAGTCTCCCATGCAAAGCCTAATGGGGGAACAGCGGGGTGAAAAGAATCACATGATGGGCCTGTTTTCCACCACCACCATAAGTTGGAGTGGGAGGGGTCCTCCTCCTCCTCCTCCTCCTCCTCCTCCTTGTCCTTCACCTCCTTCTCCCCTCCAACTGATGGTGGTGGTGGTGGTGGTGGTGGTGGTGGAAGACAGGCCCAGCGATACAGTGGGCACGCCAGAAAAAAAGAAGCCGGCCCGCCCGCGGGTGGCCCACGACGACGTCTCCTCTCCCGCTGGGCCCACCAGAGTCCCTGGGGGTGGCGCCTCGCGAGGCTCCGGGGCGGCGCAGAAGGTGACCCCGGATGTCTTGCGGCACGATTTCCTGTCGTGGATGCTTGATGCAGTCGATGCAAATCTCGCTCGACTGGTTGATCCATGATTCCCTGGAGTGCTGCCTGGGCGACTTGAGGATC